ATTTCTGACAGTTTATGTGTAGATTCACTCTGAGGAGAATAATCTTCACTTGGCCGCCTTTGAATGTTTCAATCGAAAATGATAGTTTTAAGTACACCAATAGCGCTGATGTAGTGAGCTGAATGTTGGTATGAAAAAATCAGTTGAGTGTCCGTATGCAATATTGTGTTCTTCCAGGTCTTATAGCGCCAATGACGTCAATCGCGAACAGATAGAAGGCCCTCGAAAACGAATCGAAGTAGAGGGAATCCAGGAGCTAGAGGATGAAAACAGTGAGCATGAGCGGTCAGCAGAACAGCAATCGGGAGACGATGGGGTATGCTGAGATTATCGGTTTCCGAAAAGCTATTCGAAATTTTATTTCCTTTATAGGCCCATCGCCGACGTTCGAATCGTTCTCGATCTCGATCGCGTCCATTGGAAGGCGGAGAGAACACGTACAACACAATGCCTCGGAGGAGTACACGTAGACATATGTGAATCCAGATTGTTTCCTCAGTCTCTAGAAAATTTCCCAATTTTCCCACATCTGCTCCATTCGGGTCGGAGTGGCACATGCTAATTTGTTGCAGTTACTTCGAAATGGGCTGTTTCATTTTTATCTTGTTCATAGCGTTTGTACCCAAGCTGCAATGCATAGCTGTGCAAATCAAAGCCAGTAAGCTGTTGCACTATCGATTTCCCCACGTCTGTGGAATTTTTCTTGAATGTTGCACTAGATTTTGGTTTTCCCTTTTCATTCGGTTGTCTTATAGTTTTTCACACCTTCTTTCATTCGTTACACGCAAGCATAATTTCAGGAACGGTAGTATCTCTGGTCATATATGCTTCCTCCTTTCGCTGTTCTACACTCTTTGAGATTCGTTATACTTTGTCAGTGTTTCTTTGTGCTGCATCGAATTCGAGATTGAAGCTGTCTTGCAACACATAAATTCGAGAATATTCATCGCACCAGCTGCGGCGAAACTATCAACCTGTCAACCTTGGAAGCGTTGGTAATACATGCCTACAACGGAATTTCATTTTTCTTGTTCAGGATGTGTTTGGAAGTCATTCACAGTCTAGTGGCCTAGTAACGCCTTGATTCACGTCAATCAAGCCCTGCTACGCTCTTATGCTTCACTCACTTCACCTTAGTTTTCATACTTAGGTTGACATTTTGATGACGACACATTGCTTTTGTGCCTTCTTCCCATATCCTTACGTTTTTTCTTTTCATTTCCCTTTTCTCCGTCGTAATTGTGCATTGTTTGGTTGAATATGCACGTTAGTTTGTATGCTTTCATTTTTTATGTTGCCAGTCTGTGAATAGACATCATCAAATTGTTAACAACTAAACCACTGGTTATCTATGCTCAGTGTACAGTAAATATAACATTGTATTCCGTGGTTCACAAACAGTTTACAAATAAGTTGTTTTGTGTTGACTTATCGATACAAGTTCGATTTATTTACCTCGCCAAGCTGAAGATTCAGTCTAATACTGATTCGAATAAGAGTTGCAACTTACCAAAATAAGATATGATTTGATTTTCTTGACTAGATATATTGAAAATACGGTGAAATTGCATGTTACCGCGTCATATCGTAAATCCATGCATGAAAATTTTTGCAAAGTTATATAATTAACGGCTATTGGTGTCTACTGTGCATTCGCACTATGAACGTAAATATTCTGCTGAGTTTCGGGAATTTTATCTGCACATGTGTTTATCTGATTCATGGGAACCTCGAGTTTGATTTTTTTTT